GGCATGATTGTTATGGTGTCATAAATGATGATTTATATAGTTTTAATATGTGCTCAAAAAACTGTCCGCATGAGTCATGATTTTGTAAGCCTTGTATCTCCACCATATCTCCTCTGATTCTCACAATGTGGTACTCAATCCAAAGCCCTGAAGCAGCACTACAATATTGTATCAGCATGTCACTGAGGTCTTTATGTATTCTCACACAATATTGTAAATAGTAAAAAATGCAAAAACATGTGGACAGTTTTTTGAGCCACTGTAATAGTCTGATGGTTGGAGACAACGTTAGTATGACCTGTGGGTGTGGTAACATGAGCTGAAGGCATGGATGTAGGAGCAGGAGCAGGAGCTTCTAACTGCCATAAAAAATTGTCTTCCCAGGTGTGAGGTTGAGAGGTAGATGATGGGACTGAAGGACTTGCTGAAACTGAGCTTGTGCCAAAAACTTCCCTGTTGTAGTAATCCATCATGCTGATGGCCCATGAGCTGTGCTTGAACAAATGTTCTAGGTAAAAGTCATAGTCTTGACCATATCTGATCTTTGTGGCTGATCCAGTCACCGTGAGCTCCTGGTCATGTGTCAATAAGAAATGTGCCTGCGAATGCAAAGGTATCAGTATACATGGAAATTCAAAGAGACCGTGCTGAGGAATGTAACACAATGTTAGTAGTCACTTACCACAATAGCAGCACTAGCACTAAGACCCTCCATTACACACTGTGTGTCCCAACAATGACCCCTAGCCTTTGGATGTCCCTTTGTTTTCCCAGAGAGTGAAGCCTTCCCAAATATCTCAACACAGATAATCTGATGGATGAAGTCAGTGTCTGTATATTGCTTTGAAAGCAGCTGAGGATGTATTGCTTACTTTGACCATGATGGGTGTTTTGAGGAAGTCATTGGGAACCGTTGCAGACAGATTTGTGAACAGGATGGGGGCCAGATGTGTATACCCATTGAAGGTGAGGACTTTGGACTATGGGAGAAACAGACTACTACTAGGGGAACTCTATAGCAAGACCTGGATGTGAGACAGAACTCAACCCAAAGGACAGCTACTGAGAGAGAGTTCTTGAAATGACTGAGGGAGACTCTGAAACCGAATGGGCACCAGAGGATACGTGAAGTGTGAACACTGGGAGAAGTGCAGTTGAGATGCACTGTCCTGCATGATTTGGGAATCATGCAGAACATGTATATGACATATTATCCCATGTTTCCATAGTCTGTTAGCTTAGTCCTCAGACTACACAAAATGTACTTTGAGTACAGACTCAAGTGCAATATTTCACTTTGCATGCTCCAATCATGCAAAAATATGGTGTGTTGAAGAAAAGTCAAATATGATGAAGAAATCATATATTGACCTGGTCAAAGTTGATAGTCATACAAAAGCTTAGGTTATTGCCTATCATTTGGCTTATTTACTTTGACTAGAAATAACCAAGGAGAAAAGATAAAAGCCTACCAAAACCCTATCTAAAAAGCCAGTGTTTTGATTTGTTCTGTCTTATGATTTATTCTACTTTATTTTCTTCATATTTTTCTTTCGTTCCTTTACCTACTTGATTCTTTGACCTCCCAGAGACTCCACAAAATGTACCTGCAGGGTATGATGTCATGATGATGTCATATAGCTCCACAGAAATTTCTGGAATATTCTGTTGGATACTATGAAGCCATCTATGATGTCATAGTGATGTCATTGGATGCTAGAATGTTCTGCTCCACTTGGCTCCACTTTTGCTCCACTTTGCTCCACAATGAGGTCATTTATGATGCAACTCTGATGTCATTTCTCTTTCCAACCTTATTTCTTGGTACTATACAGTTTCTCCCATCTCATGTATTTAAGGAGAGCACTTCTCCACCCACAAAAAATAAGAATCTCTTTTATCATTTAAAAGAACCTCCACTTCTTCCACTTTCTCTGACATTGACACTCTTTGTGTTAGCCAGGAAGTGCAGACCAAGTACATTTGGTTTACTTGCTCTGAGATCATCTATTCTTTTCTTGACTGTACCTGTGCTGTCTAGTGTGCATCTGACATATAGTTTCAGAGGACTAGAAGTACCAAGTCAAGCCATATTATCTGTGCCTGCAGATTCCTTTGTTGGATCATCTGCTCTTGTATCATATCATCTTCCTTGGATTAAACCCTTTGCATTTAGGCAGGGAGATCCAATCAGCTTCTACCTAGTTCCCTTTGATAAGTCCTTTAGTATATCAAGGCAGGAGAATATCTAGCATTATTTGCTACCTAGTTCTGTGCATAGTACACACCTATTCTTTATTTTCTGTCTAGTCAAGTATAGGACTAGAGAGACTTACCCACAAACTCTATTCTCTATCTAGTCAAACACAGGACTAGAGAGACTTACCTACAGAATCTATTCTATTTGTCTAGTCAAACACAAGACTAGATAAAGTTTTATCTACATACTCTACATTATCTGTCTTGCCAGATAAAGCTAGGCTTGTATTGTAGAACCCCTATTTACAACCAGGTAGAATAAAACCACCGGGCTGTATAGCAGGTAACCTCCCATGAACACTGCGTTATCTACCACAAAAGAAGAAAAGTCATAGACCATGAACTTGAGGTTGTTGGCAGCATTCAGTCTTATCAAAAGTGTAATTGTGGTGTCATTGCCTTTTGACCACTTTTATATAAGACACCTCAAGTAAGAAGACACCACTCATGAAATTAGTCCATTGTGCAACATCAGCCCTTCGACAATCATCAATATGATTAGAAGTAGTGATCAGCAACACTTATCAACTATAAAATATTCCTACTTCTTGTCCAACAGTGACCACCCAAAAGCCCTCTGGTGTTAGACCTGCGCATGGCATAAGGATCTCACTTGGCTTGGGAATCTATAAAGTAGGATGCGATGGGTGGGAATCATCTCACTAGCTCGCATGGCTTTCGCTTATTTCGCGTATTTTGCTAAAGGCCACATGGGAATGCTTAGCTCACTTAAACCTCGATTTGGGAATCTTGCATGGCCCAGTCATGGGTTTTCAAGCTCTGACTTGATGCTGTTGCCCATTTGAGTGCAGCACATGTCAATAAATAATTGATGAAAGTTTGAATGAGAGCACAGGGGAATGGGCGAATGGGCCAAAGGTGTGAGCAGAGCAAGCATTTTTGGTCTGTTCCCCCATTCCCCTATGCTCTCATTCAAATTTTCATCAATTATTTATTGCACATGCTAGGATGCAGCCAAGGCCAGGAAGCCAAAAAGGAGCACGGAGCACTCCATTTGCTTCCTGTGCAGAAGGCACAATGGGTGTGAAGCTAGTCACAAGTATATGGGAGGGAAGTTGTGGAGCTGTTGTGGTTGCAGATTCACATGTGGATGAGCCAGCAGATGGAGCAGATGGGATGGTATGATGCCCTGAAACAGGCACTGATATTATTTGGCTCATAGGCATCAAGCATGAGTGCAATGATTGAGACAAAGTAATAGTCTCCTCTGTAGTCTTCCACCTCCAAGTTATAGTGTCCAACAATGAACCTGTTCTTGAGCATGATCCTGTAAGTGATTTGGAAGATAGATATGTACATATCTGAGAGGGTCATGCCCTCAAGCAAATGGTGGAGGTCTTGAATGCGACCACCAGGGACGACAGCAGGTGGTGACAGACTGTGTGACATGGCAGATTTGACAAGGAAACACTCAACAATGATAGTAGAAGGCAAGATAATAGATGAAAGTTTGTGGGTGCAACTTGAATGATTAGTCACAGTATGGCATAGGCCCCAGTCAGCATCCTGTGAGTATTGTGTAGGGATTAGTCACATATAATAAAATATTCATTCAAAAATCATACCTGGTGTGCTATGTGGGTCTGTGAGATCTGTGGGATTCTGGCAGACATCAAACTTGGCAAATTCACAGCAATTTGTTCCTCCAGTCCATCCAGAAAATAGGATCATCAAGGGACAATAATGGACTCCCCACCACTAAAAGTATCTCTAAGGTAGTCAAACACAGGGTACTGGTTCAACAAGCAGCCAGTAGCAAAGGGCGCTGTGACGATCATATTCCCACTAGGCTTGCAATGGCCATCTTTTGATATAGGTGATGGAAAGCTACAAAACCATCAACTGCTTTTCCTGCACTCAACCCACTCCAGATGCGTATTCCTGCACTCTGTGGACCTGCGCATTCACTCCTGCACTGCGCGCATACCTGCGGTCGATTTCCCACGCCTTCGGACTACCTTACAGATGTCCCGTGTCAGTCCATTGTCCATCCTACCTCATTGGTACATATTTTGCCTTGCCTTGTGTGTTGTAACAAGTGTTGCAGCCTTATTACATGTCTTTACATATTCCTACTGCCTGTCTGTCCTGTCCCTTCCGTTTCCAAGAGGGTTAGCTAGTATAAAGTGCCTAGAGTGACTACTTCATATTTACTTCCCTTCTGCAGTATTTCCTTCCCTTAGGTTTTACTTAGGAGTAGTCACCATTAGTGCGCGCTTTTTAGCCCCTATTGGTTACCTTATACCTGGACACCTTACCTTGACTTTCCTTACCTGTGCAATCAATACCCTTGCCCTCACTTGTTACCCACGCCATTCCTTAAGACTTCCCTACCCTAGCATCTTGCACTTCTGCATCAACCGCTCATCGACCACTCATCGACCACACTTCCGCATTCCTGTGCTCTACATACCCGCACTCTACATACCTGCACTCTACATACCCACGCACTTGTTCCCACACTCTGCGCACTTTCGGGTCTTTAGTATCATCAGCTGTTCTCAGTAGCAATTCCCTTTAGGGTCAAACGTTCTTGCTTGCAAGTGTAGCAACTAGGCAGAGCATCAACCTACAACAATATTTTTGGTTAGGCACTTTAACAAGTGTATAGCCATTGTTGTGTTTGCACAGTGCTGTGAAACACGTCTACAAGGTCAGTCTTTGTATATGTAGTGTAGCTAGAGAAGATTCAATCAAAAACACTCACCTTTTGTAAAGCAATGGGTGTTAATGAGCATCAGACTCTCAACACACTCAGAAATGATACTGCCCTTCCTCCTGGCTTTGACAAAGATGCTGATGAATACAGCTTTGGTGATGTGTGCAATGGGACTGATTCGCTCCCCATCAGTCATGCTGGTGGGGAGTTCAATGACCTCACAAGGGATGTCCTGGGAGATGTCTGGAAAATGTAAGTGTCAGTACTAACTGTCAGATACTGACAAATACCTTCATCAATAAACAGGACAGTGTTTGTGGGGTGCAACAATGGGTCAACAATTGTACATGTCAAGATCATGTTCTGCATAGAAATGTGGCATTCACTGAGCAGATCCCCATAATAAGTGACATGTACCTTGTCTGGAGCCTACAGAAAACAAGGATGGGCTTCCAAAGTTTACAATTAATATCACAGTGAGTATACTAATGAGATGTTGGACTCAAATGGTAGCAAGTGGCTGATGACTGTTGTATGTAGATGCTTTCTGTAAGTTGTTACTGATTCATAGCTTTGGCAATCATGTCATTTGTTATGCAGTTGCTGAAAAAGTGTTACTTCAAATCTTGTCTATGGACCATACTATTGCCTCCACACTTGTTCGCCAAGGAGTGCTACCTTGCTCTCTGATATCCCCAGCAATGGGCATAACTATGGAAGCTCTTGAATTGTATTGCATGGCACATATTAGAAGCCCTCATTTTTGCATCCAAACATTTGTCAAAACTATGTGTGATCTACATGGAGTATGTTTTCAAACTGTCCACACTTTGTGCCTGGTGCTAACTAAACACATAGGTCAAATTTCACCACATCTATCACACCAATTTTGCATCACCTTTGATGTGTACCTTCAAATAAAGCTGACATGGTAATGAAATCTATCCAGCGAGACTCACCTAACTGGCATCTCAGACATACCTGTCTGGCTTGTTCTTATGTGCTGGCTGATGAGGAACAGCTGACCTTCAAAATGCTTTACACCATGGACAAGAATGATTCATTGAAGCAGGTGATTCATTGAACTCTCAACAACAACAACTTGGACTCTGTTGGCATATCCTCTGAACTCCCTACTGGCCAACTACTCACCAGTGACCACTACCTGTCTCGTAGTTTTGTCAACCAGTTTGCCCAGAACTCGCTATCAGCAACAAGTGATGATGTGAGTCATCAACATACTCCTTAGGTTGTTACAATTGACTGTTTGTCAGAACTTGGTACCACCAGAGAATTTGTGCGAAGGAAGATGGAAAAATATGGACAATACTAAGATGAAGAAAGCTTGGGGCATATATGATTAAACAGGTGTTTTCATTGCAGTCTGCTGATATGATTTCTGTCTCCTCATTGCAGACATGGTACAGAGTGGGGAGCTGTAAGTGATTACACTGTTCTCATATCTATTTCTGACAACTTTCCTTACAGTGCAAAATACCCCTTAGCTGTGGTTGCTAGGATGCTCAAGGTGTTTGGTGATGATTTAGGTGCTGGGTATGATATCAGCTGTCAGTTCAAGATTACTCTCAACAACAGCTCTCTTGGACCACTCATATGCTCACTGCATCACCTGTGCCTTGTTGGCACTTTCCATGGACATGCACACCAATGATTATGTCAGCTTTCTTCCTTGACAACCTATATTAAAGGCCTGGGGCTCAAGGACCTCGAAACATGTGAGCATACATTCTCAAAGTCCAATTCCCTCACATCTGCACTACATTATGCCAGTGTATTTCATCATCAACAAGCTATTGACTCATATTTTGATCACAATGACAATATTGAGGTGTATGGAAATCTTTGTAAGTAAATCTACTGTCTGCATGTGCTGGCTGACATAATCATCACATAGCTAGCCAATTTTCTGCACTGCAATTACAAGCAAGCCCTCAATATTTTAGCAACTGGCAATGTGTTACAGTAACATCTGCTTGTTTAGCCCCTATTCATTTTCCTCCCTCATGCCCTCACTGGACTCCTTCTTCTTCAGGTGATCGCCCCTTTTCTCTTTCTCAATTGATCTATCATTTTCTCTTGATCATTCCACCGACCATTCTGTCAGTTGTACCTTATCTTTGGTTCGTCCAATGACTCACTGACCCTATGCCCTTGCTGTCCAACCAGTCCCTTTTACTTACTATGGTATTCTGACTCGTCATGACTCACCATGACTCATGTCCCCTTTACCCTTACTGCTCAACCAGTACTTTCTACTTACTTTGGCATCCTGACTCATTGTGACTTGTTCACCCTCTACCCTTACCACTAATATGGTAGACCTGCCCTGATCCCTTCCAATGGTATATATACCTTATGGGTAGCACTTGTATTCTCTAACTTGAATCTACTTGGTTCATACTGTCTACTCCTTGAGCCCTAAGCAAGCTCTCCTCTTTAAAGTACCTTCATTGGAGCTCATCACTGCCAATGTCCTTAGCCTTGTAAAGAGAACGATTGACAACTCACCATCATAATTGTTGATAATTGATCATAGCCCTAGCAGCTAGATTGATTGCTGTGAACTCATACCTACAAATGCTTGCTGGTTGCAGCAGGCTTGGTGCGAGCCCCAATCCAAGTTCTACATTACTCACTCACTTCATTTGCCAGTCACAGACTTAGCTTGATCGTAACACAATGCTACACTACCAAAGGTCATGCAAGATCTCAAGATCAGAGACAATAGTGTGTTTGAAAGTTGGTTGGATGAAGAAAAAGCTTATCTCAATGGATTGTCTCAAGAGCCCGAAGAAGAAATGTTACAGATAGAATACTGGCAGAGGTTAGTAAATTTGAATGCAAGCAGGTGGGTTTTTTGTTGGATGTATTCTGTATTTACTAAACTTCCATTGCATAGCCTTGTGCTCAGTGCTGCAATGACCATCTCCGCAATGGACTCACACCAGGACATCACATCCTATGAAACCCAGGTTCAAACCACATGCAAGGCCAAAAGTGTGTGGTGTCATGCTGTTGAGGATTATGATAGGAACCTGAAGCTTGTTCAAGCACTAGAGTACAAACTGGAAGTAAGTACATGCTGGGTTCCAGAAAATACAGACTGGTAGAAGGTAGGGAGGCTCATAGCAAACAGGAAATACCAATGTGCACTGGACCATCTGGAGGGCCTGGTTGTTGCATGTATCTTTGAGCTTACAAAGATGAATAGGGCAGGGTTAGGTAAGCTCTCTAATGCAGCCTCAGTTACTTATGCTTATTCTGGTGTGATGCCCAAGGTTATAAACTTCACAAACACATTGTGAAAGCATTGCAAACCCCCTCTGTGGCTATCAGAGCTGCTCTCAATACTTACAATGCTATTGCTAGTGCAATGGCCACTCCCCAGCAAACACTCCAGTGGGAGGAGGTTGTCAACTATGCTTTCCTCACCAACTTTGACTTGTTATGCAATGCATGGGCAGATGTTTCACAACTCCCTTGGTCTTCCCTGGCATCTCGCAGTGCCATGGATCTCTATTTCAAGATGTGCCAGGCATGAGAGGAGATTTCACATCTTAATGTTGAGATATGACATTTGGTGACATATATGAGATGAGGACAGCTATCTGCAAGTGTGTGAGAATCAACTCAAGTTCTCCAGTCCAGCTCTTGCCAATCAACTTGCCATTCACCATAACATCCAAGGGCGCTTCAATGCACACCATTTGAAGTGGCTTCACAACATATCAATGCTCCCAGGTTTTAGCAAGACTCTGGTCCCTGGCTTAAGCACACATACCAGTCCAGGAGAGAGTGCCAGCATGCCAGATATAATCCCTGCCAATATACTTGCTGGCCCAATCCTCATGCCTAAGCCATCATTGCCCATACATGCAGATACACATGAGGACCTGGATGAGGAAGAGCAGGAAGAAGAGTTAGCAGAAGAGGCCTCAAGGAACCTGCAGGATGTCCTGCTAGTTACAGATGATTTTGCATGGCTTGGACTTCTTGATGATGCTGCTGACATGGAGGAATAGTCTAGTTTACTCATTTTATTGTTGCAAATGGCTGTATGGCTTATCATGATGCTTGCTATCAAAACACACTGTTGATGTGTAGATTAACACAAGCTATATGAGCTCGTTGTGTGAGACTGACATGCATGAAGGTTCAGGGTGGCAAGTGGGCTTTGCCAAACTTCAGGTACATGAATATGTCAGTGCTAGGCTTGCTTACCCTATTGCTAGTAACACAGTGTAAGCTAATCATTATAAGTCAGCCTTTATCAAGGAGATATCAAAGGAGGCTTGAGCCTGCTGAATTTGCATCACTTTACAGGCATACTACCTTACAGGATTACGTGGAGTCACAGGTGAGTAACCATGGTAGTATATGCCAGGCTGGTCACGAGCCTACGGAGCTCAGGTGGTTACCAGTCTTGCTATTTAAACTGCTTCGTTATCTAGACAGTTGCCTGCACCCATTCCTCTCGTCACTTTGGTCTCTTACACCTTGTCGATACCCTGTTGACATATAAATCTATTTTTGTAGCTTTGCGATGTTTGTCTATTTACCTTTTTGGAAATTGCCGCCGGCATAAACAGCCAGACGCGTTTTGTCAACTACACGCGTGTTGCCCATCGCTCACTAGCATACTCAACAATGGGCAGCGCAGAGCCCACGACGCCACACGACGAGCATCAATATCTCTCCCTCGTCCGCCGTGTCATAGACGAAGGCGAAGTCCGCCCAGATCGCACTGGCACAGGCACCCTCTCCATCTTTGCACCCCCTTCTTTCCGTTTCTCTCTCGCAGATGACGCGTTCCCGCTCCTCACCACCAAACGCACGTTCCTACGTGCCATCGTAGAAGAACTTCTCTGGTTCATCCAAGGCTGCACAGACGCCCAAGTGCTCTCGCAAAAAGGCATCAAAATATGGAACGGAAACGGAAGCAAAGATTTTCTCGAAAAGCGGGGTTTGGGACATCGACGGGAGGGCGATCTTGGTCCTGTGTATGGGTTTCAATGGAGACATTTTGGCGCGAACTATGTCAATTGTGACACGGATTACACCGGCCAGGGTGTTGATCAGCTGAAGGAATGTATACGGAAGATTAGAGATGATCCGACTGATCGACGGATAATCTTGAGCGCGTGGAATCCAGCAGGTGGGTTTAGTTTAGTTTAGTGGTTCCGCGTGCGCTGATTGTATGCTGTAGCCATGCCGCTTATGGCCCTTCCACCATGCCATATGATGTGCCAATTCTACGTGCATCTCCCCGTCACGCCCGATGCTCCTAAACGCCTATCATGTCTCATGTACCAGCGCTCAGCCGACCTCGGGCTCGGCATCCCTTTCAATATCGCATCTTACGCGCTCCTAACGCACATGGTTGCGCACGTTACAGGGACGAAACCCCATGAGCTCATCATCCAACTTGGAGACGCGCATGTATACCGCGACCATGTTGATGCCCTCGAAATACAACTCAAACGCGAGCCAAGATCATTCCCAAAGGTCAAATTCAGAAGGGAGATCAGTGACATTGACGGATTCGATTCGGAAGACATCGTGGTTGAAGGATATGATCCTCACCCAACGATAGCGATGAAGATGAGTGTGTAGATGCAAAATTGTAGAATGCGTTGCCCTGCTACTACTGAATTATGATACCAATTTACTTATTGTTGCAGTAGTCGAAGTGTACAGGATATTATGATACCTCTTGTTGTGCTACTGAACTTCTGGTCGTGATATGACATCTGAATCCATAGTTGCGTTGCGATCCGACTTTGGGCTCATTCGCTTCAATCCCATTCATTGTCAAGGGCTCTCGATTGAGCGCAACAATCAATTTAGGTAATACTGGGTTGCACAACTTGCAGGTACGGCCCCACAGCGGTACCGATCGAGATTGTTGTTGGATGGTCGCTCGCCTTCCTGAGGGATGATACAGGTATAAGAAATAAGCCCTCGCGCGTCAGATCAGCTCGTGACTCCATGTGATTTCATTGTACGACGAGCCCATGGTTATCACATGGCGTCTCAAGCTGATACTACAAATCTCGAGGATAACCAGGTCAGTAAATAGAGATACTCACCTTTCCCCAGAACCTGGGTCGCGATCTTTTCTCCACTTGTGGCGTTAGCGGGCGTCATTCTTTTATTTGTAAAACCGGGGTGGACTTACTCGCGCTAACAATCTCGGTTCTTGGACCTCTTGGCGCCGACGAAGCAGACTTGGTAACGATGTCACACCCGGACCCGGCGGGCACTGAGGGGCGAGCAGGATAGAACGTGAGCCAAATTTCTCACGTTCCACGTCCCAAGCCTCCACTAGGTCCCGATGTGGATGCCAGCAACCACCGATGCCCTGAAGATAGCGTTAGCGGTAGGCCAGAAGATGAAAACGGAATGTACCCTCTCATCTCGTGCCCGAAACATGCGGAGCCACGAGAGAGCTGAGTTGACGTGGGCCGGGATGCCTAAACCACGGTGCGGGCCAGTGCAACTGAACCGGGAAGTTGCTGATGAGGAGAGTAAATTGGAGAGAAATCGACAGCTGAGAGCCTCGGCGAATGTGGCTATTAGATGTCTGGTGAAGAGGGTCGGTGGATCCTTGTTCTGCCCTGCGTCGTCCACGACGCGAACGACGCCCGTAAAGGTCAGCAGCTGGATCGTATCGTTCCAAGCGGGCAAGACGAAAGTAGTGCTGGTGACGTAAAGGACGAGTACGTTACTAGGATGCCATATATCTCCGAGTTACATGCCAGATACTTTGCTCGAACATCCGACATGATGTGCTCGGCCAAAACAAAGATGAAAGACAAGGAGAAAGAGCGGATGAGGAAGTGAAGGACTGAGTGTTTAATCGCCGATCCTGATACCTAACAGCCCCTAATCCAAGACACGTCTCACGGCCCATGATTTCAAGTTGACGAGTCCTCGTGCCGGCGCCAGTACGAAACGTTTTACTGCTGCCAGGGGATCGGTTCAACGTACGATGTCCCAAGCTATGTTGTACATTATGACGTTTTAGATGCGCACCTGACCGTGTAATTCCTTCAAGTTGTCCGGGAGCAACGCAAGTGTACTTTTACCACTATACACGACCGCAAGGAATAGTGCCAAGTGAGACGCCGGGAGAATGGTTGACTAGGAAATAATATTGGGCAAGTCGAACAATGCTTGCTTCCTGCCTCGCCGTTGCGCGTCTTAAAAGCGTTACATAGCATCACTCGATCTGCAATTCTTGCTTTATCATGTCAGAGAAAGAGCTAGAAGGAAAGATTGATTCTCAAGAGGTTGTGCTCTACTTCACCGACACTGACTGACGTGCAGTATAATACTGATGTTGCTTATTTCCTGAGGTTTTAAAAGATCTTTGCAGGAATATTTGATTAATGATGATCGATATCTGGAGCTGAAGGCAATTCCCTCTCATTCTGCGCATTTTGTGGATTTTAGGTTAGACGAATATGTCAATAATACGAACAGTGAAATGACAAGCGCCCTGTCAGGTACCTCGGAATGTAGAACGCATACAATCCACTTGATGTTGTTTGTAATAGAACGTCAGCCAGACAAGCATGCAAGACACAGCAGGAAAATTGATGCATGTAGAAACAGAATAATATTAGACCCTGACAAGCAATTAGATCAATAAAACACGCAACCAGAAATGATGCGGTACAAAATGATATATAGAAAACGTCGAAACACCCATGGTCACGAGGCAGCAGACTGAGCAGTGGAGACAGCGCGACGGGTGCGGCGGATGCACCCAAGTGCGAGGCAAAAATTGCCCCAAAATCCATAGTCTTCTTCTGGAGCAGGTTGTTGTGTTGTCGTCTGTACCTGGCTCTGAGGCTGTGGTATCGAAACTGGCGGCACTGCAGGCCGGGCTGTCATTGAGGATGACTGACCAGTCTGAGCGTTAGTCTTCACAGGGGGACGCGCTACGTGGATGCTCTGGAGATTCGGTTACGTATGTAGCAGAACGAAGGACACCTGATACAATGCTTACATTCTGTTTTCTTCCGGCTGAGATCGTTACGGGCTGCGGGTCAGTGTGCCCCGCGAAGAGACTATGCTTGGGGCGTTGTTGCAGCGGGGTAGACTCATTTTCCGGCGAGTGGCGTCGGGAAGGGATGGTGATATTCCAGAAGCGCCAAGTGGAGGATAGGTTGTGATTCCGGGAACGACGAGAGGGACCTGCAGATGATGCCAGAGGATGATAGGGATGGTAAGTCTACTTGTCATCAATATTAGTGCCCTTTATAAGACCAAACACGAGGTTTACCCGAGAGAAGTCGCCGTGTAGATCATCTCGCTCCCCGTCGGTGAACCCATGACCTCCTGACTGAGGATTTGCAATAGCATCGACCTGCAAGTTTTGTGAGCAATGTAAGGAAGACGGTGGGATGCGAGAGTACTAACGTCAAGGCAAGATGGTATTGGTGACTGGAGTCCTGCTGTATAGCTTGTCAACATGTAGTATGGGCGTTAAAACACGCACTGCAAGCTCAGGAACTATATCTTTTACCATCCACAAGGTGAGTTTTCTGCCAAGTCCACTATTTGCTAGGTATCTCCCATCTCGAGAGAATGATATACAACGAAGAGTTCGGCGGTCAACGAATGGCTGGCGGAGCAATGGTTCGTGGGACTCTGTGTCCCATAGTTGTGCAACACCTGGCTGGCCCACGCAGGCTAGTACATTGTGTTTGGGTGAAAGCGCGATAGAATTCACCAAATCGTTATGCTCAAAGCGATGAAGTTCGATGCCCGAGTCACTATCGAAAACACGCACAAATTTGTCTGAGGCGGCGTAAACCTTTCTGCTGTCCGACGACCACAGCAACGACGTCACACTAGCCCACAGTTCTTCGATGGGGCCGACGACGAGCTCGCCCGTTTTCGTATTCCAAATGCAGATCGTCTCGTTCAACCCGCCTGATGCGATTCTGTCGCCTGAAGGTGAATACACAAGAACATTCACCCAATGCTGCCCCGTCTTGATTGGGCCCACCTCCGTTTCTCCGCTGTCTGATTTTCGGATTAGGATTGTCCCATCTCTAGACCCGCTTGTAATATAGTCTCCCCTGGGTGACCACGACAGTGCCCTTACTTCCCGGCTATGACCCGTCCAAACACCTTCAATCATCTTTCCATTGTCGCTGTCCCACCGCTGAATGCTTCCGTCCATCCTCCCACACGCAATTGTCTTTCCATCCGGTGAAAGTGCCAGTGCATGTATGCAACCCCCCTTGCCTGTCCATGGTTCCCCGACAAGAAGCCCAGTGTCACAGTCCCACTTGCGCATCGTGCCGTCCCACGAACCACTCACGATGTGGATGTTATCGTGCAAGAAGACAAAAGCCCATACGTAGTCCTCGTGGCCCACAAATTCTTGCTTTGGAGTTAGTTTTTTGGATTGGGTTGGGGGCTGAGCTCCCTCAGTGCCCGACATCGCAGGGGCTTCAGAATCAGAGGTCATAGCTTCCACAACGGTCAACGTGGCAAGGGAGTCAAATTCAGAGGACATAGCTTCCCCATCGCTCGGTGTTGTAAGGGGTTCAGGCTCACTGGCAAAACACTCAACGCTTGGCGTCGCAAGGGACTTGAAAGACATAGCTCGTTGTTGTGAGCTTCTTTGCGTTCTTTCCGACCCTGACTCAGTTCGTGATCAAAACGGACGGGAATAGCTGGCCGGTACTCACTGCTTGTTTTGCTTCTTCCTCGTTGGTTGCAAGCAAACAACGAAATGGGTCTTATGTGCGTAGCAAGCATGCATTCCATGAGGCAGCGCTAATAGTTGGTTGGTAACAGGCATGTATTTGCTCAATTCAAATCATGCTAGCGTGGCGAACATGTGCACGAAGTGACATTTAACTGTCAAACATTGCTTCTGACGCCTGTCTATTGTTTGCTCCATGGTGCTTTTCATGTCCAACTGACGTGTTCTCGCGATCTCACACGCACCTGACAACATCTTTACCCGTCAGAGTCAAAACAACAGTGTCACTTGTGGTATTCGCTGGGTTTGGACTTGGCTCGTGGTCAGGGGATATCGGTTGCGTGGTTGAATGCAACGGGAGTTCAGCATGGTGCTTGAGTTGCACGCACTTCTTGTAAGTATTGCATCCATCTCACACCGGTACTACCGCTCATAGTTGATTAATCTGTAGCGGTTCCTTTGTTACGACACGGATCACTGCCGCGATGCCCACTACGCTCATAGTATGAACGATCATTTGTTCGATTCCAATCAGGATATCATAGCGAACACGTCGTCACACATACGAAGACAGACAGTGACCTTCAACTGTCAACGTCCCTTCTAGCGCCCATCTATTATGCCAACCCTTCCTCAGAGCCCATGGTTTTTATTTCCGATTGACTGAGCTCCATATTCTTTCCATTCCGCACGCATTCAATATCTCCTGGCCCATTAGAATCAGAACAACAATCCAACTAGTGTCACTCTTAGCGCGTAGTCATGGGATAGCGGCTGCGTGGTCGAATACAAATGGAGTTTGGCACGGACCATGAGCTGTATTTTTTATATTTTACTACGAGGGCATCCGATCGCCATAAATCATATTCATTGAGATTCCGGCAAGACAAAACCTAGGCTAGCGACAGAACGTCTTGTCGCAAAACAGTCACTCCAAGCCGTAAATCGCTCAAGTTGTCAACTCGAATGTGAATCGTCCCCTTTTTGCACTTCCGTGTAGTTCTGACGTTCCGGAGCAGAAATCAGCTCTTTATGAGGATATTTTCACTCAAAGAGATTTCCTTGACATACCAAAGAAAGCGGTGTCAAGTGCTTCGCACTCACTGGCATGCTGGTCATTTCTACGGATGTCCAGCAAAGAGGAGAAAAGTGGTGAGCACAATATCAGCTGCACGCTGCGTACCGGTGGCGTGCTCTTACAGGTTTATATTCTTGAGCTGGCGTTAAACCTGTTTGAAATAAGACGGGTATGATCGACGGCTCGTTGAGCTTCGGTGACAGTCTGTGGTGGCTTTGATACTGATACGTATGCATCATGATAGTCATCGTGTATGCCTATCCGTGATTACGCGTGAGCTGTCCTGCACCTATAGCTACGGTATGGATTAATCGCCAGGTAACTGGAAGCGACTCGAGTGTCTGAACGGAACGCCGTCGTGCGTGCCTGCAGTCACATTATCCGGAAAGTGCGAGGTTTCTTAAATAGGATGACGAGGGAGACTGGAAGGGTGCCTTTGGGCTGAGTTCATCAGGCAACAGTAACTTACTCGACGTCAAGAAACCGGGGGAACAGAACACATCAGCCGCAGGAGTCTCTAACCGCTTGACGCGTCAGATTGCCGCAAGGGTGTCAAGTAAGTACATATGGTATGTTACTGGTATGAAGTGCGAGGCGTGTTATAAAATTTGTATAGTAAGTGAATTCCTCTTTCCAACGAATCGTGAATGGATACAGGCTGAATGCAGAACGTAAATGCAACGAAGGCACGAGTCTAACACTGCAAGCAGGAAACTGGAAGAAAGTCAAGCCCTCTATGGTGGTAAGATCACTTTGCAGACGCTAAACGCATACTCTTCCTAGTCGGGGGAGGGTTGTCAATGTCCAACTCGATACTGGCCTCCCTAGTTCTCTTCAAGCTTCGTGATGATATCCTCGTCGGAGAGCGGCTCTGACAATTGGGAGGAAGCGTGGTGAATTGGTTGTCCGAATAGCTAGGTGTGCGTCCGAAAGGTCTTGAAACACGGCTCTGAGGTACACCAAGACCGAGGTTAGACGTAAGCGCCGTTGGGGTGGAAGGTGCTTCAGTAGCGGGAGGTGTTGGTACTATAGTGGCTATTTCCGTTGCCTCACCCGGCATAGGAAGAGACCTGAGCACATGCCGGTATGCGGTTTGCACGAGACCCATAAATCTCTCTTCCTTGGTGTAAACTCTCAGGAGGAGCTCGCCAAACTTCTCGGGCATTAAAAGGGAGACGTCTCCCGACTCGGCCCGCCGGCACACTGAGGAAGGATCAGTATAGTTGTCATATTGTAGTATTTGGTGATCACCATTTGGCTCATGCTTGCTATAGAATTTAACCTGATAGATGGGATTGTCCACTCCTCTGCCGTAGTGCATCTTGGAAATATCCACAATGACGTGGTCAACAGTGAGCTCAGTGACGAGGCTCTGTTCAACACCTTCAAGGTTGGCGTTTTTGGCAGCATGCACGATTGCTTCAGGCGTGATATGTGCCTGACAAAACTCCTTGTCGTCCCAGTCCATGATCTTGTAGTCCACCCGGCGATAGAGGTCACGGGTCTGGATACGTTCAATAATCTTGCGCGCTGGTGCGAGTTCCTGATGCAATTACAAAATGAGACGAACGAAAGGAGGAATTACATAGACTCACTTCCGATTCGGTCATGTTGATGCGGTGAAAGAGATCATCCGTGAGATGAAGATACTTCTCAGGTACATCGATATACTCTGCGAACTTCATGTGCTTCTGTGCAATGAGAAGTACGTCCATGATCATGTATTCAATGGCGCGAGCTATACTAATGTCAACATAAAAAGGGATATATGCAGAGAGATACGTACTAGTTTTGTGATTATAGATATTTTTATGCAACGAGAAACGGGTGTAGAACAGTTCGTAAACTGTGTTGGCATCCTTGATGTCATAGCATATTTGACCGTCGATGACGCGAGCAGAATGAATCAATCTAGATGCATGTCAAAAGCACTCAGCGAACGAGATGATTTGAAGACTACCTCGTCATGGCAATGTTGCGTTTCTCGCCGACAGCGTGGCAGTCACGAGCGATGTAATCGAACCTTGAACTTCAAATGAGATGTTGTAGACGTAGAAGAGTAGAGACAAACTTGTCGACGTCGATGCCATTGAGATCGTTGGCAACAATCTCAAACAAAAAAGGCATAGTAGTCCCAAGCCTGAAGTAGCCAGTTGTTCATTAGAAACCGTTGAGTCAGGTCAGCATCAACACGTACTTGCATCGCTCCTTTCTGCCCGAAATGAGTGCTTTCACGGTCTCTACATCCTCAGGCGAGATGTCAAGGCTACGGTACTTCTTCACCATGTCATCGAACATCATCTCTGAAGCTTGCTCGTGACTCCATTTGGGGTGATTAGGACTAAAATTTGGTCCTCAGGTCTTTCGAAAATGTAAGGCAAAATCACAACCTACAGGGCTTTTGGGATAAAATGACCATCCCAAACATGGGACCAAGGCCCATGACCAAGGTCGTGGCACAGTCCAGCAAGCTCAACGCATCGTATATGCTCATCCGTGATACCCAACGACGGTTGGCTCTTCTGAAGATGTTGAGCCATCATCCTGGCCAGGTGGCCAACGCCTGTTTGTGCCTGTCAGTCGAACAACCTAAGAAATATCATCACTCATACCGAGACAATGCTCGAATCTATTGTGAGATGCTCCTGGGTACACATAGTACGAGATTCCTAGTTGTTTTACGTATCTCAACCGTTGAAAGTGCGGTCTATGAGAAGAATGTATTGAGTTCTTTTCATCAGTAAGAAGCCAATGGGAACTTACGTGTCTATGAAGCTGCAAATCCATGGATCGTACTCCACTATTGGATATATAGAGTCGCGGCCACAAATGAGATCGCCATGAAAAATTTAACTGAATTGTAGTACTCACCATAGTCATGTACTGGATCTTTGAAGATCCTCTTATTAGGAATTGAGTCTTCAGTCATATCGAATTTATCTCCACACAATGAGTAACTGAAAAATCAACGAAAGCTGGTATCAGGCTGTGCAACGCGGTAGTCAAAGCGAAAGAAAGACCGGTAGTCTTTAGAGACTAGAGCCGGACTCGGAGCGATCTTTATAAATCATACTATACCCTAAGATGATGACGAAAGTTACGTTTCGAGAACGCATGCTTGCACTGGCACATAGACACGTGATCAATATCAATCTCGGTTGCACCTGTAGTCAAAGCTTTAGATGCTCGGTTCAGTCAGACGTCTATGTAAAAACTCCTCATCAAAAGAAAAGCTTGTCAGATCCATTCGACTGACGGGTTACTTTGGATCCTTAAGATAATACTGTCAGGGGTGGGATGAATTCGAGGCTTCTGATGAAGCTCGAGGTATTCTCAGTTGCCTTATAGCCTTTGGCGCTGATCAATCATGGGAACATCGCAGGTCACGCTATCAGTAAATACATCATAGCCCTGAGCCCTAGATTGTGAATTAAAGGAGGAAGTCCTACAAATACCACACGGAATCCGTGAATCGCGAAAAGGGGGTTCAAAATGCTGAGATAACTTGGACCTCATGTTCCAGACAAGCCAGCATCTTTATCTGCTAGGCTTGGATCATAAACAGGAACATGCCCTATAAATCAATGAGCACCGTGGAAATAGATCATGTAGAACACGCACCATTGATATGTGGCATACCAGGGGGTGACGAGGGGACAGTCATATGTGGTGACGGCACCAGGGAATCCATAAGTGGGACTGTGCTCGCCTCTCCGCATTGTTCCTGCTGAACTTGACCGGGCTGCGAGCTTCCCTCACGAAGGTCACCATGAAGAGCAGGTTCTTCCCCTTGCCCCTGCTTTCCTGATGGCCGACCCTCCACGCGCCTCACAAACTCACCCCACACGGCACGTTCGTCAGTCCCCATACCCTCAAACATGCTCCGAACTGCTGCATCAGCTTTGCGATATACGCCACGGTGCCGGCACACGGTCGACTTAACATACCGGCATCCAAAAATGCGTTCGAATGACATGCGCTGAGTCGCATTAGGGGTCTGGGCAATAAGAGCATCCATCTGCCGGAAACCGGCAGCAATTTCAGACACAGTATAATCGTTAGGCCATCTTTTGAGTGGCGGGTGGGGGTGCTGCGGGAATGGCCCTGGCCCTGTTCGAGTGGCTGACGAAGGCGACACCACTGGATACTGTCCTGGGCTGTTCGGTGGCTGGCCGCTCATCGGAGTTGGAGGAGGACCTGAGTATGGGTGTGGCATGGGCGAGGATGCCTCGCCCTCGGGACTGTTTGCGTGGGATGGGCTAGCAACTGGCGGTGCACTCATTGGATGTCCAAGCGGGACCTGCGGGTACATATATCCCATGGGCGGTATATACATCGGGTGCGGGTACCCTTCCGGTGGGTATGGTCTTTTTGTGGGAGGACCCTCTGTATGCTCAGTTGCAGGCCTCTTGGTGCCATTTTGTGTGACAATCGTAGGAGATACGGGTTGTTTCTTCTTCGACTGTAGCGCCAACTCCTCTGCGAGTCCTCGGCATTCCTCGTCTAAAAGCCCACTTAGAAGACTTTTACGGAGTTTATATAAGAGACGCTGGTCTGTCTCGATCGCACGGACAGTGGTAATCATATGTTGCTCCCAATTGCCTGTTGCATGATTATAAGAATCGACGTATGAAGCGGGTGTGAGTTCCAGGTCGGAAACCACGGATGGAAAATGCGACAGCTGAAACAACGGAAAGGTGGATATCTCGTGGTTTAGGCGAATGGGATCGCATGCCGGCTGTCAACTGGTCTAGTCACCGAGCGCAATCATCTAAGAATATACAACTGACCTTGTACCATATAACAAGCGTAATAGAACGTTTCAGTGACAGTTCCATCTGGCTCTGCTTCTCATCATTGGGGGGTTGCTCGGGCGAAGGAAGCTTCTCCGCACCACGAGGAACTACATTTGCGGACATCTGTAAGTAGGTAGATGTAGGAACAATTGGAGGGGGTCGAGAGGCCAAAGTGTGCACCCTATCCATCTGTATGGACATAGCTGGCCTCGAATGCGCGGTAACAGACGCGTTGTTTGCTCTGGATCATAGCAGACAAAGTCAAACGAAATGGAGCCTTTGCGACGAGATCAAGAAGAGAAAGGCACTCACGACCCAAGAATCCAATGGACAGCAATAGACAAGTCCGTTGAACAAGAGACGTGGACAAACAGTGGACGAAACCTTAGTCCCAGGGACCACGTGGAAACAAACTCCGATCTCCGCTTCATGTGACGGAACCTTCTTTGATGAGTACCAGAACACTCAGAGCTTGCTCAGATTCAGTTGGTTCTGTGTGCCAGAAAACATTTGTGACCTGCAACTCACCCCTAATTTCAGCGAATTCAACGACTTACGCAGGGCAATTCGTCAAGCTTTCAAGCACCAGGTCGTGAAGTGGGCTCCAAATGATCTTTGAAATCATACAGCCTGCATGAGGAGCTATCAAATTGTCTTTTTTAATGGAATGTTGTGGCTCGAGAGTTGAGACCACTAGCTTCTGGCAACCGACAACCCCGGTCAGCCTGTTAGTCTGCCACCCAGCGATACAGGGATTTCAACCTGTCGAACCATCAAATTGTCCACAAACCAGCGGAACCATTGGCTCAAGTGTATTTTGCACTTGATGAGGACAGCCTGATCCATATTCCTCGTGGTTCATGGAGCTCCTCAGCAGACCGCAAGTGGACCTACGGTATGTGGTCTGAGTTTTTTTCCCCAAGTCACCTTTCGTACGTCATCACAAGCCTGTCTGCTCAATTATATGGTTTGCATCTGCTTCACTTTACCTGATCTGATGCTATACGGCATTATCGCATCAGTGGGAGTCTGTGAAATATAGCGCAATCGGCCAGTCCAGGCCTTCATTTGAAATGCCTGGGATTCCAGCAGCCTGTCTCCTGACATGCTGTTACTATCACTTCTTGAACCATATTGGAACACGATCGCAGCATGAGGTTTTTCATACTCCAACAATACCGGAATGACCTTGCTCTGTTCTGGAACTCAGGCTGCGACTTCTGGCGGTACTATGGGTCGGTGAACTTGGTTACCGGCTTGGAGCCGGGACCGATACTTTACGGATCAGTTCGTACCTCCAGAATGCTATGCGACCACGTTCCATTCCCGAATCCATTGTCTACACGGGGCACAACTTAATAATCAATCTCACAGACGCTCATCAATAACGCCAGCACAGGTTCCAGCGCAGGAACACCGCTATGTCACCGGCCTAGATTTATAGTTCACGACCCCTTCCTGGCCTGCAGCTTCCCCTCTTTTGTATATGTCCCATCATTCTCAGCTAGAATTGTGGCGCCAAACGCCTCAGGACAAGCGATTGACGATTTCTTGTAAGGCTTTTGGTTCACATTATGGTGGCTAGATCAATTCATTCTGGGATGTAGCGATCCATGTAACAGCTCCTGCGGCTGGCCTTCGTCGCATTCCAGCCGGCTATTATGTCGCCGTCGAGATCGACGGAAATGTTTGGAGAACAACCGTCAAAGCGGAAGTACCGTCAAGCAATATCGTGCAGTGGGATCAGATTTTTGTACTGTGCGTGCTCGGTTAGACAGCGTTCCGTGAGATTCATACTGAAACTGCATCTCAGTCCCGCAGATGGTTCGGCAACAGTATCTTTGAGAATCTTTGCAGCCTTCGAATTTGAACGTATGCTTGGGCGCGGCGAGTTAATGCGCGAAGCTAAGCTCACAGTGGGGGAACTTTTACATCACAGCGACCAATCCATACGTAAGTTGGCAGCTAGTTTGTTTTTTGATGCCTTTCACTCAGATGAAATGACCTTCAGCCATCTTATTCTTTCCCGATGGGGGTGTATCGCCATCTCTCCTGGTAAAGGTCGACCGAGGTCTTGAAGACGAACCCGATGCAACTCAGTTTGGCCAATACCACTCCGTAAGTGTTGTCAACCCCACAAGTATTTCTGCTATTAGATTGACATCCTAGGCAGCCCAGACACGATGGGTCACGACTTCTCGGACAAATGACAGAAACCGGTCAGAATCTCCTCGCATGCTATCGCCGCACTCGTTGCATTTCAGACTATCACGCAGCCACGGAACAGCTGCGCCTTGCGCTTGATTATTGTGGCAGTGATCACCCCGACCGTGCAGCAGCATTGACTAATTTAGCGGACGCTCTTGTGATTCACCCACATATTGAAGAAAGCGATAACGCTATCAATGCCCCTATCTCGTTGTATCAGGAAGCGCTGGAGCTTCGCCGATCGGGGCACCCAGACCGTTCCTTAGCACTCCTCAAGCTTGGACTCGCATTGCTATACCGTTTTCAACTAAGGAAAAATCCTGCAGATGTAATGGAAGGCCAAGACCTGCTGAATCGTGCACAGCTTGTCTGTTCGGACGACAACCCCGATATCGAACCCGTCATTGACGCAATCAGGAGCCCCACTCCTACCAATACTTCAAAGAGTCACCGCTCTTCGGCGGTGCCTCCATCACCTCCTTCACCGCTTTCACGAATGTCGATGAACTCCGCAGCCTCACAGCCCCATAAATTCCCAGAAGCACCGGGACACACTGCTGACATATCAACACGTTCTGTTCCGGCGTTGATGAGAAGCATGAACGGTGAATCACTGCTGCAGCATGGTCAGGCAGAACAATTCGGAGATGAGAAAAAGTTTGCCGCAGATGAAACTGATGCATCACCACCAGCCTGTCAGCCCACACATCCTCGCTTGCAATCGGGAACTCTATACACGAACTCTGTTATGATGCCCCCTCAACTACTGCCAGGAAGCCCGCGCAGAGAATGTAGCATGCTGGCCCCTGATGTCGGAATGCAGGCAATACAACCACAGCAGGCTATTAAATCTATCTCATCACCGCTCACACCCCATTCGTTTCTCCCCTTGCCGGTACCAGCTGCTCAGGCCCCAAATCTGCTCGCCTCTAACCTCCGTATAGCATTTGTTGCTGTTTTAATGTCTTTATCTATTCTCCTGTTGATGACGTGTCCATTGGATGAGCTATGGTTTTGATTAATGTTATTATTGCTACCTGCATTCACATCTGTAATACTAGGACTGCGCATAGAATCTGTACAACAACTGTAACATCAAACTGTATTTTCATTATGATATACCTCGCACTGCATATATATGTTCTCGGCGTAACTATGTATACTATATATGTTGCAAGTAAATATGCCTCTGGATTCATGTGCATGAACGTTCAACATGCAACGGGCACAGAACGTGTATGCAGCCTCACCTACTCGGCGCCTGTTGCATGCCTTTTGTGGCGTTGTCCGCAATTTCATGTTTCTAGCGAATCTATGATAATTATATCTTGCACTGGGTATCTGCATAACTCTCTATATCTTTACTCTTCAGCATCCCAAATAACTTCCCTCTTCGCCTCTACTGTTTTTCTCTGGTCCCTTATTCCCGCCCAAACGCTCAACCCAAGTGCAATCAAACACGCCGTCGCTGTTACATACAAACTCGTGACGTAGCAGTCGCGTCCATCAAAACATTGGTGTTCGCTTGGAAGACCACCACGCCTTATCAAAGATAAAGGCGAATGCGTCTCGGTGTCATCGTTCGCGTGTGAGTCAAGGTTGCGCCCAAACATAAGCGAGAAAAGATTCCCTCCCACTAGTGGACTGAGTGAGATAAATCCCCAATTCTCCGAGAGATGTGCTGGAACAAGTCGTGTCAGGCCTTTTTGGTGTCATTCGTCAGCAGCTAGTTCACTACTCACAAAGCCCAAACCAGTCGATGACGATCGTAGGGGAAATGCCGAACAGACTACCATATGCAAGCCCAAGTAGCGCGGTCGCTTTCCAAAGATGCGCAACGTCGTTAACGTTGATGGCAAACAATTGAGAGACAACAAAGAGCGTTGAAACAATGCAAAAACAATATGCACGAGGGAGACGTAGGCGAAATCGGAGCAAGTCCGCGATTAATCCTGGTGTATCAAATAAGTGAAGATAGTGAGGTAGAAGGAAAAAGGAATGAACCAATGAGAATACGTCCTGCAAAGTTGCCAATACTGAGAGTTGAAACTTGTGCGGCTTGCCAACGCGAAGCTTCTAACTCGTCGTAGTTAGGGTTCCCTTTGGCATACAATGCCTGAGATATGGAGCCAACATTATTGATATCTGCAGATCTTTGAGTGAGGTGACGCCATTGACCTTGATGAAAAACGCCTACACATGATCCCAGTTCCACTTACTAATACATGCAAAACTCGGTCACAAGATATGAAAAACAGAAAAACTCTAACTCACGAAGCGACATGATAACAAAAACAAGATAAAAATCTGGGGTAAGCCACAGTTGCTTCCCATAGACATTAGGCCCATCATGCACGGGCTTTGCACGGCTCGTACTTCTCCTGACACTCGACCCTCTCGATACAATCCGGTCCGGCACAAGTTCTGCCGGGGTCGATGGTTCGGGGACGTGATAGTTTGATGCCTCGTGTACGTGTTCCATGGGATCAAGAAGGGAGGTGTGACTGTCATTCCCACAAATAAATAGAGCGGCATCGCCACTCGGAATTGGCTGGTATTCCTCGCGTCCGTGCGGGCCCCCTTCGATGCCAATTGTGGTGCTCGGGGGAGGTAACGGTATTTGACGGACTATCACAAGACCAAGAAGCATGGGCATGGCGGCGCCGAGGCCCAGGACAAGGAGAAGCGCAGATGTGTTGCCAGGGAATGCGACACTGGCAACTGCGGCAAAGAAAAATGCAGATAAGCCAAAACCAGACAGAACGAGACCTGTTATAGTTCCGCGCTGCACAAAAGGTCATTGCTTCAGCGTGACTTACTGATGCAGGGATCACAATACGAAAACAAACCGAGGTTTCAGGGAAGCTCTTAGCCGTAGTGTTCATAGCAGCGGCAAGGCCCGCATTTCCAGCCAAGCCGGTCATGAAACTGCAGGCAATGAGGATGACAAGATGCATGAACGATACTACTGTTCCAGCACCATCATCATAGATGCGCTTTATGCCGAGATATCCTATGAGAAGGCAGGCAAAGGCACTAATAAGCGGAATGCGGGGACCCTTTGAATCGACTACTCGACCCCAGGCTGGGCCGCTCAGATACACACCCACTGAATGAAGCTTAGGGTTTGGTCGAGCTGATTTGAACGATTAGCGCACCATTCCCTGCCAGGCCAATAACATTCAACTGGGTGTGGGAGAGCAATAGGCGTGCGCCTAATTGTGGAGCGTATGCTGTGATAGGACATTATACCTAGGATCTTATCGACACATGTACTACTCACCAGAGTATATCTGATGCGCAGCAGAACTACTTTCAATGCCACAGATACATATTATAATTTTTTACGCACATAATTTGTCCCTGAACTGAGGGATACGAGAATAGAGCCTAGAAGTGTTAACATTCGCGGTGCGCTGAGCAGCGCGGGGGGCTGTGGTTCCATGCTTGAAGGGGCAGACGACCTCACAGCAGCCTTGAGTTTGTAAAGCGTTGGATCAGCGGTGTGTTCGTCGAGCTCACCAGTGACGATGGCGACGACAGCAAAAACGAACGTCGAAACAAAGTCGGAAGTAGATGTGTCCCACGGAAGACAGAAAGATTGGTACTTGAGCTTGAGGCCTGAGGCTAACCCGGAATTATGTGACTTTCCTTACGAAGCTTGAGAAAGTTTAGAGAAGATTAGATAATAACCAAATATAAACGTAGCTTTCATTAACCACAACGTACCCTATGCCAGCACGAATTAATAAACGACAGCAGCGCGAGCAGGAAGAGCTTCTCGCGCTAGGAAACCATCCTGCTGTAGCCGACGATGCGGACAGCGAGGGGGAACCAGCACCAATAGCACCCTCGGGGTTTGCAGCGGTAAGTCCAGCCCTGGAACAAATCTTTGCGGAGATCGTAACGATGGACCCAGCTTTCTGTTGCAGAAGATGACCATGATGGACCTGAGAGCGATGATGAAACATCCAAGCCTACAAAGGCAAAGAAGGCGCGTAATTGTCATATACTATGATTCGAGACCGACTGACTAATTCGAACACAGGCAAAGAAGAAGAAGAAGAAACCAGCAGCATCCGATGTACCAACAAGCCCTCAGCAGGCTAAACCCGCTGAGGCACCAAAGCTCCAGCAGCCTAAATCTGTAAAGAAAGGCAAGGGAAAAGAGAAGAAGAAAGACGGCCTGGATGATCTAGACACGGCGCTCGCAGAGCTTTCCCAAAAGTGCGTCTAAAATTCTAGCTGCTGGTCGATGTGCTCATCAACACAAAGATACCCAGAACTCCAGAGCGTCGCGACTTCCTCATCATCAACTACTCGAAACGCATCTCTTGCATCCCTTCTATCCGTCTCAGTATCCAACCTCGATGCAGAAGCAGAAATGCGCAAGTTCTTTGGCGCAAGGGCCGTCATAGCTGCAAAATCATCAGAAACATCTTCCTCTGGCGGCTCCAAAAAGCGGAGGGATGTTGCTCCAACCCAGGCTCAGCGTTCACAGCTTACACGACCCCATCCATCATGGAGTATGATCAAACAACGTGAAGGCCTCTCTTCTCGCCCATTGACCGACGAGGAGGTGCAACAAAAGATTACAGATCAAAATAGCCCAGCCGCAGGAGACAGGTGGTGGACTGTTGAGTATAGTAAGAGGTACAAGGGTGTCACAAAGACCTTTATGCAGGCTGTATTATCAGGAGGTAGCGTTTTCTTACTGTATACCTTTTCATAACGCTCATGGTCGTCCCTGCGACTAGATCCTGAAGCGCTGTGGAAAGTTTTGCAGAAACTCCCGTGGCATGGCGATACACTGCTGCAGCTGGCAGAGGTATATCGCCATCAAGAAGGTCAGTGGTCTATTTTAGATCAGTTCCTCTTATCAAATCATATCAGAATACAGCCAAGCTGTGGAATACGTGGATCGGGCGCTGTTCTCATATGAACGCGCCTTTTTAGGGTCATACAGCCTCACGAATGGGCTCAACCGCCTCGATTTCAACCGCGTCGAGAATCGTCCCTTCTTCCTTGCGTTGCATCGGCAGGTCACGTATGTCCTTCTCTCCTATACATATATATTCTATGAGACTAACCTGCTACAGTGATCTTCAGCGTCGCGGTTGCATCCGTACCGCATTCGAGTTTGGGCGCCTTCTATACTCCCTCGAGCCATGGACAGATCCACACGGTGTCCTGTTCCATCTTGACTTCGTTTCCATCAAATCAGGTATGGGGCAATGGCTCTTGGACGTATATGCCGAGTTTGCTGGCGCAAAGACGACATTCGAGGATCATTTGAATCCGAGCGTGTTGCCTGGATGGGCCTATGCGAGAGCCCTGGTGCTTTTTGCAAGAGAGAAAGCAGGTGGGGGGCAGGTAAGCCTTCTGATCGTACCGCCAGCGGTGTATTGATCTTGAAGTGGTAGAGCGTAGGAAGCGGTACGGACGCGCTGAAGCACGCTATGCTAGCCTTCCCAGAAGTAGTACCACTACTGGCCGACAGGTGTGATATTCCACTATCTCCAGAGCTGCGCGGACACAGAGCATTCAGGATTCAAACTGACGGAATGTGCGTTGAATCGATCTGTCACATAACTTACCTGCGTGCTAACGGCCATTGAAGTGGGCTGTCACCTGCGCAAAGCGTTCTCCACCTCTTATCTCATCTTTATGCTCAGCGATCCGCAACTCTCTGGAAATCCGCTTCACATATGAAATGGTTCGAAAGCACTGCTAATGGAATTCAACCGTTGCTCAATGCCCAACGCTCCAATTCAACTCGTGAGCGGTTCCTCCAAATGTACGCCTCGACAACGCTTCGCTACTCTGTCTACCGACATATCCTCGTTCTCGAGCAAAGTTTCCGGAACCTCACCCCCTTCATCCCACGCTCTGTCTTGCTAGCTAAACAGCTTGCATGCGATCCGCTTCCACCACTGACGGCATCCTCCGAATACAACGATGCCTTCTTTGTAGGTGCAGAAGAGATTTTCAGTGTCCGTCCTCGCCGACGAGATGCACGCGCGTTGGAGCGACTCATCCCAGACGCAGGTGTCAGGGCGCAAATCGAAGCGCTGTTTGATGCGAATCCTGGGCTGGCAGGGCAGTTGCCCGGTGGCGTTGTGCAGCTTGTGCAGATGATGGCAGAAATACCGGATGAGGCTTTGGATGATATGATGCTTGGTCTTGCGATGGGTGCTGGAGAGGGTGGTGCCGGTGTGCCAGGTGGAGGGGGTATGCCAGGTGGATTGCCGATGGAGGGGGATCATGAGATGCCGGACTTGGGACAGATGCCTCTGAGAGGTGCAGCGGAAGCGGCGCCAGCCTTAGCGGATGAGGATGAAAGCGAGGAGGAAGATGAGGACGATGACGAGTATATTGCTGTGAGTTGCTTTCTGATGTCTGGCTTGTTCAACTGAAGGTACTGATGTGATTATTTCAGCCCATGCCCATACGGGTTGTGAGGAATCTGTTGAATAGGTTTTGGGGAGGCGGGGCTGCGGCTAACAGAGATGAATCTGATAGTGATGCTGAGGAACGGGACCACGACGGTGTTGACTAAGAGTATGCACGAGTGTTTGATTCTACGCGAGCCAAGTGTACTTATATCCCCATTGTGTTAAATTTAATGCATTGGTTTCATGAATACCATTCATAATGTGTCTATCATTACAACCCCAAAGCCTATTCAACTTTGTTGGATAAGTTTCTGATGGCATCCGAGTCAGAGGAGTAGGTGATGACTAAGCTTTGATATTCATTGGCGAAGTCAACGCTTGCTGCTATCGTGCACAACGATGTCCAAACTGTCGTTCACTGTTCGCAAACCCCCAGCAGCCGACGACGACAGAGCCAGCGAGAAATTCAAGCTCTCAGCGCTTCCTCGTCACCTCTCCAGTGCCGCAAGCTCTGCTTCTGGCACCCCACTCACAGGTTCTCCTCGTACTTTCAGTTCTCGGGAGGATTCCGACGACCAAGAGGAGAGCGGGATTGTGTTTGCTGATGGCGGGCGTAAAGATGAGCCGGACTCTAGTGATGATGAAGACGACCGCCTTGAGGACGAGCTTGTCACTTCTTTCAACAAGTTTGGTGCACAGCGGTGCGTCTCTTTCCGTTCTTTCCAACATTTCTACAGCTCACAAAAGGCACATGTGCTACTTATATCATCTAGTGTAAATGGAAAAAAGCCCAAGACCAAAGCCCCTACGGGCCCTCTTGTCATTCCTTCGAAACCAAATCCTGACTGGCGGGAGGCAGCACGGAAACGTCGTGCAGGTGCTGCACGATTCATCCCTGACTCTGCAAAAGCGAGTACAGGTGCAGACGGGAGCGTTGGAGGGCTTGGCACGCGCGATACCATCAACTCCGGCCCCCAACTCTCAGGCATCCAGTTTGGGGACAAGAAAGTCAAAATTGATACAAGCACGATATCTACTGACGAAGAGTTAAACATGACAGCAGAGGAACATGTGAAAGTAGATGTTGTAGAAGAGACGGAAGACCAAAAAGCCCTTCGTGCGCTGCTGGATGGGGATATAGACTCTACGCCTCAGATCGATTCTATTCCCGTTCCTCCCAGTGAGACTGACGCCCTGCAACAAGACGTCGCTGATCTTCCGGATGTTGCTACTATCGATGACTATGCGCGTGTGCCGATTACCGCGTTTGGAGCTGCTATGCTCCGCGGTATGGGTTGGGTGGACGGCGGGGCTGTTACAAGCTCAGAAAGGGCGAAAAAGAATGCGTTGGTGGAGCCTTACTTGCCGAAATCACGCCCTGCACTCTTGGGTATTGGAGCAAAGGAGCAAGAGGTGCTGGATGACGGTAGTAAGAAGAAGAAACGGAGAGGAGACGAGAAGCGTTATATCCCGCTTGTGAGACAGGAGAAGCAGTAGGGAGGAAAGCAGGAATGGGAGCGCGACTGTTTCTAGGAGGGCGTCGCGGTCACCCGAAAGAAGGAGCGGAGGGGAGAGTAGTCGGAGGGATGACGATCGTGAGAGGAGGAGGGGTGATAGAAGGAGGGAAGATGACCGTGACACTAGGAGAGAAAGTGATCACGATAGGCGACGAGAACGCGACCGTGACGATCGAGGTGACAGAGACCGAGGTGACAGGAGGAGAAGAGACGATAGTAGAAGGGACAGCGACAGGGACTTGGACCGGAGGGACCGAGATCGCGACGTCGATAAACGTCGTGACAGAGTCCGGGACTACGATGACCGCGATCGACACAGGGACGGAGAGAGTAAACGGGGAGGACGGGACGGACGAGATTAATAACGGTACCATAAAGCCCTTCATTAGGACTGATTATTGTCGTAGGTCAATGCTATATCTGTGTATTGTGATATCTTGTGCTGAACACGCTGAGAGACGAGGCTTTGCACAACACTAGCTCCACAATACACCCTGCCATCTCTGTTCGAAGATGACATTCGGACGTCGATCTCCTCGCTCCAACATGTCATGACCGTAGATTCTGTTCTGAAACTTTACTGCCTTGCTTGACAACCTGAACGCTTCTTATTTCGCAAACTGCAGACTGCATCTGCCTTGCATCACATTCCGTGTCACAGCAGTCAAACGGAGTCGCGCTCAAGACCAGGAGATATATGAAGTCAAGGTCGACGGGCTTCATGACCTGCTGATCACCACGGAAGATAAGCTGATTCAGTTCTCATCACCACGACCTACTATGCAGACATTCTTGCTTGTTCGCCCCTGGAATCGTTATCTCTTGAGCTTCCTGACTTTGCGGGGCCATCTGGCTTGGTAGAGCTGCCTGACATTGTTAACGACACAGAGAGCGAGAAGTTTATTGGTCCGCGCCCGAGTCTCCATTACAGGGTTCGCCTGGCGAGTTCCCTGAAGCACAGGAGTCGGTTGATTCACAACTCAGCGGTCGAGCGTTGCGATTAGCTGCTTACCTTATGCAGCCTTTTAGCGCATCAGCGAGGCGGAGAATACAGGAGAATCGCGTCAGATAATGATATTATTGCACAAATCAAAGACCTTTCTTCTATTCTGTACATGGTCAAGACGCTAGAGATATTGTAGCGGTATGCATTTTAGAGTTGTTTATATCCATAGCCCAAAAGTGTGAATTTGACGTATGAGACGAGCAATATCCACGGAGTGTCCTCGAAGCTGATCTACAAGCAATAACACAACCGGCCACTTCCATACTCTCTAGCCACGAGCCGCCCTGTGGCTAAGGCTAATGGTTGCGGATTGAATAAATGAGGATCACAGTCTTAATCAAGTTATCGTCAGCACCGCTGTGTTGCAAATGTTTTTATGGGACCTGGACTACAGCGAGAAAAATGAACCGGGCATACCAGTTGACCCGGGGCGGGGCGAACATCGAAAATTGGCGGCAATGCACGAGCGGTCCACGGGTGGTATAAGTGGGCTTTGAAGGTTGTAGTAGATGATTGATTAGTGGGTAGTCGAGACTGAAAAAGATGTAGGTTAGAAATTTAATGGCGGCCGTCCACGTTCACGTCCGTGAGTAGTTGCCTGTGCTAAGGGAGAGCAGTTAGGAGGTAAGGGCAATATAGCAAGGAGCTGTGAGGAGATCGTCGAGTTAAGTGCGAAGGAAAGGAGAGAAGAACATAAATCCAAGGGATCACGAATGTCAGCATTCCGGAGAGCAGCTGTTCGCTGTGAGTGTATTGTGCGAGAAGAAGGAAGGAGTTTGCGAAGAAAACAGGTCGCTGTGAATGTGTTGTAGGTGAATGTCTCAGCGGCTGAAGGGCGAAATATCTGACAGGCGAGGTGACTGACTTGCGACGCAGGTACGGCAGGAGCTGTTACATCGGAATGCAATATTAATAATGATATTTGACAAAGTGGTGTACATGAGCGGGGATCACGTACGTTGAACAAATCAGCGAGGCGAGGAGTTTTAGCTGTACTTGCAGTGCACAACAATTAGATCTGTGTGTGCGAAAAGGATATACTGGGCTCTTCTTTCTTAAGCTTGTTGTACAGATTAGGGGTGTCGGATGGAGTGTTGCATATATTGATCTTGTTTCAGGCCGCCATGTAAACCAATTGACGTGAGTCAGGTGAGGAGATCATCCAGCGACGATGTTGGGCATCAAATGAGGCAAGGACTCCTGGCGGAACTCGAAGGCCCACAGTTTCACCGTGTGGTCATGGATAGCGCTGACGAGGAGAGCACAATCGAATGACTATGACAAGCTTGATTTGCCCTTTAAAGGTCGTTCCGAGCTTCGTCAAACTCATAAATTGTCTTGAGGTCATGATTGGACGTGTGATTGCCACTGCGCTGCGCGGCTCCTCTTGTACAAGGAAATTCAATATATCCTGCCTGCGAAGATAGCATCAGGTCTGCCAGTGCGACGTGCGTGCATGGCACGTTGCAGATGGTTCAAAGAACCGTAGGTATTGAAACAAAAGAAAACTGTTCCAAAGTAAAATAGTAATCAACCTCCAGTAGGTGCAGATCTGGAGGTGCAGTATGGCTACGCAGTGGGCTTGTCTTGATCAAAGCTTAAAGCTGAAGTTTGCGCCTCAAGTTGCAGTGGTTTTGAAATGTGACTGTCACGCGTCGTTGTGTCACGCTTTTGCGAAAAGGAGACTCTTTCAATTGATTGGCTTCTTCATGCTTCAATCCAGCTTTCGTCGCGTCCTGAAGCTACATTTTGCCCCACAAAGACTCACTTCATTTTTTTGTTCCACCTCATGTTCTCTTATCCCGAGCCCTCAAAACCAGACGGACTCACACAATAAAACACGAGACAGCAATTCAAGCAACATCCAGGACCCCACTCGATGCGTGTTTCGATCCCGCGTTAATGGTCTTCTGCGCTCTATAGATAGTCGCATTCTTGCAAAAGGTCCTGACGATGTAGAGACCCATATCCATGACAAGATTTCCGTGGCAAAATTCCACAATGTATACCGCTCGACCATGTTTAACCGACTCATCCGTTTCTTGCTTGAAAGGGACCTTTTCAAGCTCTCTATCTCAGTTTACAAGAGGATGCTCCAAGAGCAGTTCTTGCCCAGTCGTGATATTGTAACAGCTATGACTGAAATCCTGGATGATATGGCCGATGCTTTCGTTACTATTCGCAACGTTGATCTCTCTGCGTCCGGGAATATGGTTAGCGTCATGGTAACGGCGTGCATGCGTGCGGGGCAAATGAGCACTGCAGAACGTTGGCTCAAGAAGTATGAGGGCGACTGCATGGCGCAGGGCGTTGCCCCTGGTGCGGCACCTTACGCGGGTATACTGGAGACATTGCAAGAAATTCAACCCGAAAACTCTGCAGCCGTTCAGGCCACACTGTACCGCATGCGCTCAGAGGGTGTCGCGCCTGATATATCAGTTTTCAACGCGCTTATCCGCTCCAGCCTCGCTCGTCGAGAATACACCGAGGCCTTTGGGCTTTATCACGCAATCATGGTCAACCGTTCTGCTTCCCTCTTACCCAGCGACCTCACTTTCAAGAAGCTATTCCATGTATCCAAATTTTTGGCTCATAAACGTTCACGGAAACATAAGCGCCTGGACAATGCTGTCCCTCCCCGCCAGTTATTTCGGGATATGGTCCAGTGCCATCTTCTGCGTACCAGGAATGCTCCCCTGGCACATTCTAACATAGTTTCAGTTTCATGCCTACACCTCGCACTGCGGACGTTTATGACTCTCGAGGATTACCCCGCTGCTCTCATGACGCTTCGCGCATTCGACCGTTTGGGGTTCCAGCCGAACTTACAGACATATTTGATCGTCGTCACAAGTCTTGTATTACGAATCAAGCAGGAGCTGGGACATAGCTGCAGGGCTGACCAGTACCGCTTCGCAGATTTCATCACGCACATGAGACCTCGGGAGCCTCCAGACATCGACGTGCTAGAGCGGAGGATTCAACATGGAGAACCTGTGGTGGAATTATCTGGTCCCGCCTGCGTTGGCCCTGAAACAGTCACACACCTCCTTACTCTTGGGGAGCCAACTACTTCGTCCAGGTCTGAGACAGCTCACGCAGTTCGCAAGCGATTGCCCACATCTGCCGTCCCCACTGTCGACATGCTCATGGGAGCTACGCCTCTTTCACCATTCCAAGAACTTTCGCTCGCACCGCTCGTGAGACTGTTGAGAAAAATGACGTTTGTAAACCTTTTTAAGAAAGCTGCGGGGGGTAAAAGGGAGGGCTGGGATTGGAAAGTGGTAGTTGGTCCCATTTTGTCGAGCGCAAAAGAGGAGATGTGGCGCGGCTTTGAGCTTCCTCCAGAGTCACGACCAGGAACAAAGCGAAAGCGGAGAGGATATATCGGAGCTCAGAGGGGGTCGTTGCCGTTCTCTGCTTCGAGGGTTAGAAGGATGGTTAAGAAAAACACCGTTCAGTCAATGCAAGGACGTAGAACCTCCCGAATCTCGATATCTGAATGATCATAATCACGTGATTTAAGTAAAATTCAGGACTTGGCGCGTCTTCTTGGGTGTGGACTCGAGTTATTGGCCCAAGGAGTATAGTTTCAAAGGAAATCGGAGCGCCCTCATAAACGCGCAAAACCTAGCAAACCTCGTGGAAGGCGTATAAATTCTCGGATGCGATCGATGTCAGACGCGCTCTGTAGAACCAAGACCAGAATGCTCAAATAGAAGGTGCAATGCATAGGCATCAGGAAATCACTGGATTCCTTAAATTACTCGAAAATAGCACTAAGGCGGCCAGGGAACATAAGACACTATTTTCTTAGTTTTTCTGAGGGCTGAGGTAGATTCAAGGCAATCAAAGCAGTAATTCGAAATGTCAACGTACAAGGAAAGGACATCTCAATTCCTGTTCGTCAAAGCTACACGACCTCTACTGTCCTGACACAATGCATCATGTCGCGAACAGAAGTTGTGTTTTTGACTTGTGCAATGATATCACGATCTGACATGATTCTCGTGTATTCTTCGCCATATTTCTGCGCTAACAAAAATGCCCTGAATGGCTGTTTGAGGTGAGCAATCAATCGTAACGCTTTCTCGCTCAATTCTGAATCAACCGACTCCTGCTCTCCAGGGAACCCGTCATGCGAATGCTGTGTTGGAGACTCGAGCGCAGACGAATAACTTTCCTCGCTCTCCGTGTCAGACAGCTCTGCCAAGCTAGACAGTTCGGCGAACGGCTGTTTGAGGCGAGCAGTCACTTTCTCGCTCAATTCCGAATAAACCGACTCCTGCTCTCCAGTGAACCCGCCATACGAATCTGATGGGGATGAGGGAGTGGATGAATCGTCCATGCTCTCCGTGTCGTCCAGAAAGTCAGGCAGCTCGAGGAGACGACGGTCCAAGAGGCGGACAAGCAAGAATTTCTGTGTAGTGGATTTTGTTCGTGAAAACAGCTTTTTTCCCGTGGTGATGAGCAAGTCACAAAGCCCCTTCGCCTCTACGTCATAGAAATACATCCCCTGATCTTGATCGCCCCTCCGTTTAAATTTGGTGACTTCGAACACGATGCAAGGCAGATGTAACCGCCCGTGCGAGAAACCAGGGGGGCTCATGCCGTTAAGCTTGTTATACAATTGTAAAGCCATCCCCTCAGCCTCAGCAACTGACAACGACGAAAATGATGCCTGAATATCATCTTTAGACAAAGATGGCAGCAAGGAATCTCCGTACGGCGTGAGATCTGCTGGCAGACAGCTGTTGTATTCGGATGATTTGCCAACCCAATCAAGGACGCTGATGTCGCGCGACTGAGCAACAATCTTCTCCAAGAGCCGCCCGACCGCATTCTGTCTGCCCTCACCATAGATTACGGGTAGGTAGACGCCGAAGATGCCGAATAATGAGTATGCGACGTCTTCTGGCTCCTTGGTGACACGTTTTGATGCCCATTCGAGTTTCTTACGGGGGTCTTTTATCCCAGGACGGAAGGTGGCGTAGAACCGTGAATCTATGCCCGTGACATCCTTCAACTCCTGCATGATAAACTCCTTATGGTTGCCAGAGTGATGGTCGAGATACGGGGTCCAATCGTTTCGGTAGAAGAGAATAATGTTAGGAGCCAGGAATTCTTGAAGTGTCCATCCTCGCGTAATCCAAGCGCTCTCGGCGAGTGCGCCAGAAAGCGCGATATCTGACAAGTAAACAATCGTGAGAGCAGAGCGTTGGTACCAGCGAAACATGGAGGTGATGGATGTTGGGAGCTCCTTAATATCTTGCTTGTCTATGCAGCACGTGTCACTCCACGCCCAGCGGTACCCACTATCACGAGCAGTTTCACAGAATCGCTGCAACTTCCCGATGCCGTGGAGTGAATTCAACTCGTACACGCTCTTGCCCTGGATGTTGTGCAGCAGCGGCTCCTTCCCTTCCCACCTATGTGATAGCATGACGTAAGCGAAGTACTTCGCCACCACTTTTCGGATGCGTTCTGTTTGAAGGTCCGCGCGCTTCGTCGATGACGACAAAAGTTTTTTGTACTCCGTGCTCGCTTTGAAGGCAATCGTCTGTGCCTCTTGATCATATAAGCGGCCAGTGGAGGTGTCAAGTAGACGAGTCGGGATGTTTTCCATATGATCATGAATGACTTTTTGAATAACCTTTTCTGCGTGGAGATGAGAAACATACTGCTGGCGCAGCTCTGGATAAAGGGTCAAGCATCTGGAGGTTTATGTTTTTCAAGGCCTACCTTGTTGTCGTATGTCGGGAGAAGTATTCAACCTGAACAGCATGGCTTGGAAGGCTTCGATAGCTTCATCATAGCGTTGTGCGGCAAGAAGCACTGCATGCTTCGCCTGGTATCCAATATAAGACAAAGGGCTCTGTTGGACAACCTACATATCACCGGAATGAGCATTCACCACGCAACTGCAGATGTCACCACACCTTTTGCGCATCGAGAAGTGCATCTTCCCATAACCTTTGTTCTGATTTCGCCTTACTGCGATTTGTGAAGATAGTGTCGCTGGCTGAATCCAGGTTGATTGCCGCCGAGTATAGCTCGATAGCCTCGTCGTAGTTGCGAGCATCGAACGCGGCATCTCCACTTGCAGCAATGTCAGCAAATCCTTTGGCAGCATAATGGTCCCTGCAGGCTTGCTCGAATGCTGAGTGAAAATGGAGGTAAGAACTGGGCCCGATAACATTGATGAAGACTTACTAGTGGACCACGCAAGGCAGTTAGCCTTCGTAGTTTCGTCACTCATATCCATCATATATCGATACGATTCGAGGGCTTCTCTAATTCCACCTGACTGCCGGAGTGCATCGCAACGTTTCTGGTTTGCAATCTGCCACACTGACTTGAGGTCCCATCCGAAGAGCTGTACAGATCGCGGAGTTGGGCAAAAATGACATTTTTAATTAAACCATATTCACGTACCACGGCAAAATCTTCATATCCTGAAGAAATGGCAGAACAAATTGCGGATTCAGATGAGCCAGTAATGGCATTGATAGCAACGGCGAAATCACCAGCACCTCCGTTGCGACGCACGTCGCCTAAGCTATCGAGATAAACCTATTGTGCGAGGTCCTGAATCAGTATCGACCGAGAATTGTGCTGAATCAACTCCATGATACTCACTTCCATGGCACTATAAGCAAGAGTATCACCATCAAGAGAAGCATCAGGTGGCTGGTGGACGTGTGGGGTTGCCTTAGAATGTTGCTCTGCATTGAACAATGCAATGGCCTGAGAACGTGATGAATCAGGGAATATGGAAGAAAAATTTGACCTGCCTTTATTAAGAGAAGAATGGTCTTCGATTGTCCATCCGTGAACATGGCCGCAAGGTCAAATGCTTCTATTGCACCCTGGATCTGCCCTTTCCCACATAGAGCGATGCCCTCGGAGATATAGCCTGTCAAGGAGGGCTGAATCGTGACAGACTAAGTTACCATCACAGTTAGCATTCCAGTATATCATGGGTGTCCAATATTATCTCACCTTGAGTGCATCATGGAGTGCACCATCCCAGTCAAGTTTTCGCGCCTTAACTAATGAGAGATTGGCATAGGTGTTGTTGACGCCGTGGTCACTGTCAGCGATTATTTGTTGTTCTAGCAGCGCTTCAGCGGCATTCCAGTCCCCAGTTATGCATGCCTTGCGGATTGTTGAATCGACATCGGTGATCTGCAGGAAGTATGCATCAGTAAATTACAAGGAGTAAACGGCGGAAACATGCCTTGGAATCAAGCGAGGGTACTGCCCACTGTGAAATCTTCTTATCAAGACCTCCGGTGAGGATGTGCTTGCCATCCGTGGAGAATATGACACAGCACACTGTGTGGGAGTGCTTGAATGAGGCGATGATTCGTCGATCCGAGAGCCGCCAGAGGCGGACATAGTGGTCATGAGAAGTGAAAGCGACGAGGGTTCCAGTGGGGTTCACAGTAAGAGTGTTGATGCCCTTAGTAGTATCGCTCCTGCAAGGACTACCGACCTGTTCCCACGTTGATGTATCCCACCTCCGTATTGTGGGATCTGGATTGGACCCCGCTGAGAGCAACCTTTTGCCATCAGGCGTCCACGCAAGTGAGCAATTCCATGCTGAATTGAACTCAGTGTGAGCCTTCAAGGATTTTATTTGTTCTCTCCTTGGACTCCATACTTGAATATTGCCAGATGTCGCTATGGCAATGTGTTCTCCAGACGGTGAGTACCGAATGCAATGGACATAATGACCACAACTGATTGGAATTCCTTGCTGTTTCCACGATTGCGTGCTCCATAACTTTGTCATTTTGTCCATCGAACCAGTTGCCAGTACTTCGCTGTCTGGAGAAAAGTCCACCGAGTAAATTGCTGCAGAGTGAGCTTTTATGGCTTTGACCGGTTCACCAGTGCTGCCGTTCCAGATGATGAGCTCTCCGTTGTGATCTCCGCTTGCTATGAATCTTCCGTTTCGTGATATCGCAACTGTCCACACCCAACTGCTATGACCTTCCATTTTCTTCGGCGCTACATCATCGCCTTTCAAGTCCCACAGAAGAAGTCTATTATCTCCCAAGCCCGTCACCATACGTCGGCCATCAGGAAAGACTGCGATTGCATATACGGTGTGTCCACGAGCCGCAAACTTTCGAACCGGCAGTTTCGTTTGGATGATGGGCTGCGCCATATCGGAATCTGCCATTCGGTTGGAGGTCGACGGTGGACTTGTTCTGGGGATTATTGGCGCCCCGCCCCAGGTCGAACAGGTCAACAGTACTCACCATTTTTATCTTTTTTTCACAGCGCTAGTTCGTCTCGTCACTCTCGTGTCATATCAAACGCCTAAGATATGGCTCAAGCACAATTGCATGGGTCGACTTCAGTCAGATTCATCATATCTGTCTCGTTTCTCAATCATGCACGTTTTCTCTGATCGATTTCGCGGAGGCCTCTACTAAGTGCCTATCCCTTGCTAGGACTTACATTTCGCCTACTCCTTCCCACCAGTATATGTTACGTGATAACAGAAATCAAGCAACCTCCTCGCAGTGCCCGCACAGCTAGTGATCCTGCCCCTTGATACCAACATGTGATCACCGCCCGAATAGTACGCCGTAAATAAATCACTAACACAAGGTGCAAATGAACAGTCCTCGTTTCAAACCTTTGGCTACATGATATCTCTAACGTCTCGATGTTCATCATGTCGCGAACGTCTTTAACTCGAACTATGATATCATGATCAGACGGGATTCTCTTGTATTCTCCCTACCATGCCAACATCACGAGGTGACAGATTGGCGCTGTGACATAATACAAAAATAGTAGCACACAGCCCTTTGCAGCAAAACACCTACAATCCCTACTTGCAGCAAGACCTCCACCGTGTTCAACACCATCAACCTCTGACTCAATGGCGGAAGCAGCGCAGCCCATCATTATGATCAGCACACCCGTGCGAGCTTTTGAAGTACGTGAATGCGCCGTATCTGCAGTTGCAGTCTTCCCCGATAGACAACTTATGGTGGCCGGCTTGGGAGATAATACACTTTGTCTGTGGGACTTGACGAATGGTGTTGTGTTGAAGAAAATGGAGGGACATCAAACCTGGGTGGGCGCGGTAGCGGTATCAAGAGACGGGCGATTGATAGCAAGCGGTGATGCTAACGGAAAAATCATCTTGTGGGACGGCAACGCCGGCGAATTTCTATCTGATATCGACGTCCACCCTGCACGCTCTAGCTCATTTAGCTTTCCTCTACCCGAACCCCTTGCTATCGACTCGGATGTCCACTCTGCATGGATCAGTTCGCTTGACTTTTCTCCGGGTGGAGCGCTGGCCAGTGGTTCAGGGGACAA